AGACGTGAGGGAGGGTCCGGGTCTGGCGACACGGACATGTTAAAAAAAAAAAGCAGAAAAAAAAGAGAGTATGAAAAAAAAAAAAAGAGAACAAGAATAATAACCACCGACACACACGCGTCTGCCAAGACCGCTTCGCTGAGAGTAGGAGCCTGTAGGGAGGTGGGGAGGAGCGGGCGCGCGGTGGGCCGTCACGCACAGATGACGGGCAGCAACACGCACACGGCCAGGTGGAGGAGGGGGATACACAAAGGGAGAGACAAAACGCAACGCGTCTAGCGGCTGAGGGGATCTGGCAAAGCGTGCCGGTGCCACGGGCGGAGAAACACACACACACACACACACACACACACACACACACACACACACACACAACCATGGAAACACCGGCGCGGGAGGCGGCGACAAGAGGCGAGAAGGGCAAACAGAGAAAAGCAAAACACGCCCACGAGCGTGAGAGGGATCTGGGAATAACAATAAAAAAGGGAAAACGGACACGCGCGTGTCAGCAGACGCGCCAGTGCACGGCGGGGCTGACCCGCGCCCATGATTCTGTGCTTTTCTGTGTGTGCTGGAGTGCCCAGCAACGATTGTAAAAAAAAAAAAAAAAGCAGCAGCCGTTGTCTGGCGACCGGCGCGGCACTCTGATTCTCTGTTTTGAAAAGTGAGAAATCTCTTCTCCAAAAAGGCGCTCAAATCAACGAAAAAAAAAAAAAGAAAGACGACGAAAAGAGCACAGTGAGCTGAAGCAAACAAGAAACACAAAAAGGCACGGCCAAGACAAGAACGTGAAGGCGCCGCGAGACAGGTCTGGGCAGGTGCGTCTGTGTCTGCGTGCCACACATCTGCGGTGTCGCAGGAGGAGGGGCAAAATGGGGGGTGGGAGGCAGTGAGGAGAAGTGTGGAACACAGGGGGCCCCTGTGAACGCTGCATGAGCGCCGGTCATGGACGCGCCGGCTCGCCGCCAGCAAACCCATCGCCTGCTCCCCCCTCAACAAAGCAGGTGGCACTCGCCGAGGTGGACGGAGAGACGTGCGGGGACGCTCCCGCGGGGCCCTGGTCCACTGAGGGGTCCTCTCTGTGCGCCACCAATGGGGAGGGGGCGGGGAACGTCGACGCGCCTCGCTGCCCCCATCCCGACCTCTCTCTCTCTCCTCGTCCCCTGTGCCTCTCATCACCTCCGAAGAGGCGGACGGGGATGCCGCTGTCAGAGCTGCGTTTCACCCCTCACCCGCCACCGCTCGCGGCGGCGACGGACGCCGAACGTCTGCGACTCGAGGTGGAGGACGAAGCGGAGGCACCGCCGCCATCGCCGTTGAGTCCGAAACACACCGCAGATCCACGTGTGCCCACCGTGTCACCGTTCCTCCAGCAGGTGCAGCCGGACAGCGCGTTCCCGCGCCACTTGAGGCGGGGGACAGGTGGTGAAACCCGAGACTGGACACGACCAGGGGAAGCGGGGGCCGGAGTGCGGAGGTGTCGCACGGCGGCCCCGATGGCGGTAGGCGTGCAGTGCAGTCTGTCAGTTGCCGTCTTCGTTTGTCTGCTGATTTCAGGGCGACTCTGTGCCGCACGGGACGATCGTGCCTCTCGCGGTGCCAATGAGACACACAGCGCGCACTCACATACACGCGCGCGAATCGCCGCCGCCTCAGTGGGGGCTCGTGCCGCACCGGTGCGCTGGCGTCACGCCACGCACATCGTGGTGTGTGGAGCAGCGCGTCGGACAAGGTCGCTTGATGACTCTGTGCATGTTCGTGCTTTTGGTGGTGTGGTGGGAGAGTGCAAACGGAGAAACAGTGAGAAGCATCGGTGGGATGGGGCGGCGGGGGGACGTGCCGTGCCGGGCTGGTGCAGCGGATGACTGAGGGAGGAGTCGCAGTCGCCACCACCGTCTCCGTCAGATCCCACACCACACAGAGAGCCACACATGCTCCCTCCCTCTCGGCCTCACCGCCGGACGTATGTCTCGCTGGGGTGAGAGCGCCGCCGCGATGGGGCACACGCCTCGCCCACACACAAAGGACGCCGTGGTTACTCTTGTTTTGTGGGCCCTCGCCACCGGCACGCAAGGGACAGGCGCAGACGCACCCGTCGCTGCGCACACACACAGGCAGAAAACACACGCGTGTACACCAGAGACAGGCATCGGTGAGCACGCAAAGTACAAGGAGAGCAGAAGAAAAGACGCGGCGCCGATAGTCGGCAGCGTGAGAGCAGAGAAACGAGACAAAAGTACGCAGAACACACAGCAGCAGAGGACAGCGGAAAAGGAAAAGCAGAGAGAGAGGTGGGCCCGCACACGCGCTCGCACGGGGATCCGCGAGTCCCGTGGCGGCGGTACCTCGTCTCGCTGTCGGTATCGCAGCGCTCGCTGCACCAACCCCGCCTCCTCGCAACACGACTGAAGGAGGACATGAGCCGAGGACACATGACGCCACTCCGTGTGTGTGGATCGCGCAGCATGGTGTCGGGCGAGCAGAAGAGGCGTGACAGGTCCATCCGCTCTCGCACACACATGCAAAACACGCACACACACGCAGGAGCGTTGTGCATTCACGGCTCATCACCCTCTCCAGTCCTGATGCGAGGAGGTGGGGGTGACGCAATGGGCGCAGCGATTCCCACGACGAGCTGAAGCACCAGCACTCCGGCACTCTGTCATCTCCGTGCTCGCACGTGCAACTGCGGCTTAAACTCTCCGAGCCACTTGTCGCGGAGCGAATGTTGCACGTCGCCGCCAACCACCGCCAGAGGCTCGCTGCACACCGCGCACACCATATCGACATGCAGTGCACTACTGTCGGGCACGAAGATGCTGGCGACAGGAGCGGAAACGGCACGGACACGGAGCGGCGGATCTGACCGCATCGGGCAGAGAGGAGGGGGAGAGGGAGGGGGAGGGGCTCGACAACGTCGGCGGCAACGTGGTGAAGACCACGACAGCAGCACCGCCGAGCGTCTCGCGAGCAAGAGGGTATCTGGCAGAGGAACGCGCGTGATGTACGAAGCAATATGGCGAGAAGAAGCAGAGAGAGAGAGGAAGAGAGGAAGAGGTCGAGGTAGAGGTTGACAGCCGGTGTGCGCATGCGGTGGTGGTCTGCTTTCCTTCAAGACATTGCACTCTGCGGCAGCTGCCGGACAACAACGGAGTACGAGAGACAGCCGGAACCGTCGCGCTCAACACACCTGCGCCGCGGTCCGTCCTCTGCTCCCCCTCTCCCCCGAGCCCGCACAGATCCCTGTCGGTGCCCGTCTTTGTTTCAGCGTCTGCGTCTGTCTGCGTCTGTCTGTGTGTATCTCTGTGTGTGTCAACGTCTGCAGCTTTGTCTCGCTTGCCCGCACACGCTCATAGCCCCCGCCTACACAAACCTGAGTCACCGCAACAGCGTCGCCGGCCCGCGGGACCCACGACGCTCCCAACAAATCGCTCCCTCTTCACTTCCTACACCTACACCTACATCCCCGTATCACAATCCGTGAACCGCTCGCATCCACACCACTCCCGCGGCACATCGCGCGAAGTCCGCCGCCACAGCCCCGCACCCGCAACCAGAAAAGACAAGAAGACCCGTCTGTGCCCCGGTACTCCCCCGGCCCTGCGCACCCACAGCCCAAAGGCGGCACACAGCACACACAGCACACACCACACGTACATGCAACGCACGCGGCGCCGCATGCGCACGTCAGACTGGGGCGACATGATTGCTATCATTGCAACTCAAAGTCTGTGATGTTACAGTCAATCATCATGTGTGCGCGCACATGCACACTCACATACACGCGCGTGCGCGCGGGCGCGCCCCCTCAGAGTGGTGCATGATAGTGTCTCAGTCAGGGCTCCTGATGCGCGCATACGCACGCCGGAATCAGTTGTGTGCATCGTGCGGGTGCGTCCCGCCGCAACACCAGCCGCAACACCAGCGGCAACACCAGCACTCCGCCACGTACTCGGTCGCGCTCTCGGGCCGTTTGAACCAGTGGCGCGGATGAGGCACACCATCGTCACTTTACCTGACGGCACTGCAGCAGCGCCATCTCGTGCGACACTGGCGGACAGCGCAAGCACCGAGTGTATGCCGCGGCGCGTCCGTGTTTAATCGCACTGCACACGCGCGCACGCACGGGCAGCGCAGCAGCGGCTCCGGCTGCGGCTGCGGCTGCGGCAGTGCGTCAGCAGAGATTGCTCATGTGTGACGTTGTCGATCAGCGATGCATCAGCTCAAACTGTGCGTTGTTGTCGTGTTGTCTGTCATCCCCCGCACAGCGGCACAGCGGGCCAGCGGGCCATCTTGCGCTCCAGTTTCATGCACGGTGCCTGTGGGTGTTGCGGCACGCGCACTACAGTGAGCGCGGCGTCTCCTCGCGCGACGGCGCGCGCGGGCCATGTGTAACGCATGGTTGGTTGCGGACTCGTCATGGCCCCGACGGGGCTGGAGCGCACACAGGATATGCGTAGCGGGAACAGCGGCGCGCGCGGCGGTGCGTCAGGCGCGCGCGTGGCGCGCCGAGCAGCACGCCGCGCGCACGCACCCCTTGCTCTGTGGCCCCCCGGGTCGCAGCGCAGACAACACACGCACGCACGCGCGCATGTGCGCCGGCGCCGCAGTGACTCGAGGCCGTACGCCCAGCATGCGCCGACAAGCGGCACGGGCGCCCTCGAGGTGACGGGGCCAGTCGGCAGCAGCAGCCAGCGCAGACAGCAGCAGCATGGCCACGCAGGCAGGCAGGCAGGCAGGCAGGCAGGCAGGCAGGCAGCGGACGCGGTGGCAGCGGTGGAGAGCAACACGCGCCAGCGCGATCAGACGAGGCGGGGTTGGTTTCACGGCGTGCGCCACTCAAAGTCCATCTGCGACGGCGTTACATCAGCCTGGGTGTCGATCATATCAGCGCACAGCCACAGCAGCAGCCGCCACGCGCAGGCACGCGTCCGCACGTGGCGCACAGCACACACAGCACACACCACACGTACATGCAACGCACGCGGCGCCGCATGCGCACGTCAGACTGGGGCGACATGATTGCTATCATTGCAACTCAAAGTCTGTGATGTTACAGTCAATCATCATGTGTGCGCGCACATGCACACTCACATACACGCGCGTGCGCGCGGGCGCGCCCCCTCAGAGTGGTGCATGATAGTGTCTCAGTCAGGGCTCCTGATGCGCGCATACGCACGCCGGAATCAGTTGTGTGCATCGTGCGGGTGCGTTTCGCGGCGATGGGTGGGTGTACGTCGTGGGCTGAGGAGGAGATAGTGAGACGATGGAGGCTGTAGGGCTGCGTTTCATCTGACGAGAGTTCATGGGTATGTGTGTGTATGTGTTTTTTTTTTTTTGGATGAGTGTGAGTGTATGGACCAGGAGCGGGGAAGGAGTCGCCGCACGGGGAAGGGCGGGATGTAAGGTGAGACTCAACACGGATAGGGTCATAGTCGCGTTCTCGCTGTGGTGGTGGACGGCCTGTGGCGACAGGGCATTTGCTGTGTTGAAAAATACAATGAAAGATCGGCGAAGAAGCGGGAAGGTGTTGATGCGGAGTGTTGTACTTGAACCCTTGTAGCTCCAAGACGTACGCTGGATACTGATGTGAATTCGTGCTGCAAGCAGAGAGGGACATTTTGAGGTGACAAGATGAAACCTGTTCTCTGAGCTTTCATTTGTGTGACGAGGTGTTCAGTGGGTCCCGGCGGCAAAACAAATGGACCCTTTTGCATGCGGCTTGCAGTCCCACCTCTTCGCGACTACTGACCAATGCAAATCAGTCTCGGTAGTGGGTCGATCGCGTTTGCTGGAGAGTTGGTACACCACCCCCTTTCCCGTTGTTGCTGGTTGGAGCAAGACACCGTCGGGTCTGAGCGTCTCTTTGTCGACATGCTAGCGAATCGCACAATGTAGGCATGTGAGGTACTGCCGCAAGTTCTTCTTGAGCTGTGACCCTAACGTAAATAGTAAGAGAGGTCCTGAGTGAGAACGAGCGTCACGTGGAAACATGCAAACACACTCATACACAGATCCATACGCTAGCTTTCTGATGGAAGGGGTCGCAGGAAGTGCTGCGAGAAAAGGAAAAAGAAAAACAAACCAAACTGTACACACATGGAGAGTCGGAGAAACGCAAAATCCCATGCAAGCTCGCGCAAATGGCACGGCTGCAACGTGAAGAACTGACGGAACAGAACAAGAGCACGGCACCGAAGATACAAAAAAAAAAAAGAGAAAAAAGTCGGGCAGAGAACAATGAGGAGCTCGTTCGGCCTACCCGCCCGAGAAATGCGCGCGCGTGTGTGTGGGTGCGTGTGTGTGTGTGTGTGTGTGTGTGTGTGGTGCTCTTGCTGTCTTCCTTCTTGTGTCCGTGGTGGGGTAGCGGAGACAGTAACGTGTGTCACTCAGTCCAACTCTGCCCCACGGCACCCCCAGTCACCTGGGCTGCTGCTTCAGTAGCTGATAGCATATCTGAGCTGAGTGATTTTGACAGAGACGGCTTAAACGTCTCGCATGCACTGTGTGCTGCTGTGAGTCAGACGAGAAAAGTGAAGGGGTTGGATGTCGATGGGCAGGCTCACAGCTGCAAAGGAGCTGTTGCACCAGACCAGAGACTTGGGTGGAGAAGCAGAGAAGAGAAGAGGGGCTCCGTCAAAGGTGGCGAGAGAGAGGAGAGCTAATCGTTTGAACACGTCGTGAAGAAGGCAGTGGAGTTGGCAAGAGAGCCACACTTTCACACAATCATGCACATGGTTGTCTGCACGGTGCCACGTCACACAAGACCGCCGCCGCCTTCACGAGAGCCTACTTGTTGACAATGCAGCTGTAGTGTCGACATAAGCTGAGAAAGAGAAATGAGTAGGGAGGGAGGGAAACGAAAGTACGCAATGCGGCAGCGACAAGGCCCTGTGAAAAAAAAAAAAAAAACAGCGAAGAAAAGAGAAAAAAAAAGGAGACAAGGCTACTATGGAAGAGGCTTCTGTTTTTTTTTGTTTTTTTTGGCTCAACAGATCTCAGGGAAACACAAGAAAAACAAATGAAACGCAGTGAGAGGGGCGAGTAGAAGGCTGGAGCTTGTCTGTTATACCTGCAGGAAAAATGTGCAAATAAGCGGTGCAGATTAGCTGATGACTCTTGGTATGTTTCATCACAGTTTTTCTTTTTTTTTTTTTGCCCCCCGGAAACTTCCTACACCTCCGCCAACACAAAGGAAAAAAAAAGAAGTGATGGTGCCGCCTTTGAGAAATACATGCTTTTTTTTTTCCTGCTGTCTTCCCTTCGTTCTACCGAAAGCTCTTTTTTTTTTTTTTTTTGTCAGTCTCGTGACCAAACGCCTTGCAAAGAGAGTGAAGTGCGTTTGCATAGCTGTGGTGCCTCATCTCACTCGCCAATTGTGCATGGTTAGTTTTTCTTTTTCCGGTTCTGTGATAGGCACTCGGAGCCGACACAGCGGGCATGAGAACAGTAAAAAAGACTAGAGGAGTGAGGACAACTGGCGCCTTTTCGCACAGACACAGCGGCAACATGTTGAGAAGCGAAGGCCGCACCGCTGCTGGAAACGCACACTTCCGCGTTACAACGGAAAAAAAAAAAAACAGCACAAGTGAGGCAGGTGAGAAGAAAAGAGCAGCGCCTTCGTGACGTCAGAAGTTCAGTCCGCAAAAAAAAAAAAAAAGCGATGCACATATCACAGAGCGCCCGCCGACACTGCCTTGACGCACACTATGTTTCATTTTGCTTTTCACAGTACGACTCCTCCCCTGAAAAACTGTAGTAAAGCCAAAGAAAGGCAGACGAGGGAAAGGGAAAATCAAAAACAGAAATTTCGGGAGTAGAGAACGCGGATGCTGTTCCGGTTCGGTGTTGCATCGACAGCTCAAAAAAAAAAGGACTGACAAAAACAAGGCCGTGTGTCTAGCGCGGGACTCGTGAGCACGATTCCTTTTTTTTTTTTTCAATAATCCTCTTTGTCATCATTTTCACGCCTACCTTTTTTTTTTTTTTTTCACTTCATCTGTTCTCGTTTCGCCATCTCTTCCCCTTGATTCTTGTTTCTTTTCCCTTTCGTTCCACGCTACACTTCAGTGCCTTCTTTTTTTTTTTTTTTTTAGGCAGTGACCTTTCCAACCAGAGCTTCTGTTGCCTTTGCATGTACACATAATCTGCCGAAAATGACACCGCCTGTTCCGCACGTACTCTAGCCCCGCTAAAAGCGCACTCTGGGAGTGGTGCTTGACGCCACTGAGCCACACGCACGTGTTGGAACAACTATTGTCCTTCAACAGGGGAAAAAAAGTACCAAGAAGTGAAAAAAAAAAAAAGGAGCTATCACAAGAGGTACGTGCTGAAGGGGGGTACACAAAAAGACATAACCCAAGTGAAAGATGAAGGGGGGTGAGGGAGTGAGAAAGCAGAAGAGTGAAAAAGCGGTCAAGCGCAGCCAATCTCTGCAGCTCGTGTCACTTCACTCTAGAAAGTCAAGGAGGCGATGGCGACAAGCACCGCCACCACGGCCGTGCTCACGGTGATCATCCGCGCACCGTTGCCAGTGGGAGGAGCGGGACAGTAGGACAGGGAAGCCGATGAGCAGGTGCGGGAGCACCCGCTCACCACACCAGAGTCCATGGCCTTGGCAGCGGCAACGAGGCTCGGATTGGAGTTCCAGGAGTCGGGCATGCAACCGCACAGCTTGTTGCCAGTGAGGCCCAGAGAGATGGAGGCCGGGAAGGTAGACCAGGTGGCGGAGAACGGACCACGCATGTTGTTCTTCGTGAACGTGGCTTGGGAGAGCATGGGCATTCCAGAGGCGTTCCAGTTCGGCATGCCGTAGCAAAAGTACGCCTCCGAGAAATCGATGGAGACAAGGTTGGAAAGGCTGCCGATCTCGTCCGGGATCTTGCCACTCAGGCGTGTCTTTCCGAAGTCCAGGCTGGTCAAACGAGAAATACGCGACCACGAGGCTGGAACAGTACCGGTGAAACGTGTCCTTCCCTTCACTGAGATAGCCGTGATCTGGAGCTGGCTTCCGTCAATGGAACTGTCCACTTCCGGAAGGTTACCGATGAAGTTGAAGCCGGAGGAAGTAACACCGTCCAAACGGATGCTGATGGAGTTAGTGGCCGCATTACACACGATACCGGACCGGGAGCAGATGTTAGGGTTCAGCCAAATGATCTGCAAGTTGGGGATAGCATCAATCCACTTTTGCAGCCAAGCCTTAGTGGCACTGTTGACAGTGATAGTGTCTGCGCGACCTGGGAGGGCTGTGGCAAGAACAAGGGCAAGGAGAGCCACCCCAATCAGCGAAATCAGAGAGCGAGCCATTTTTTTTTTTTTTTTGGCTTTCTTGTTTTCGTGTCTGGTGAAAGTGCCTTAGCGAGAAGAAAGGGAAGGAGAGAAAACCTGAGTGTGTGATGTCAACGACAACGCGGAAAAAGATCTTTTTTTTTTTTGTAGTGGTGGTAGTTGTGGTTGAGGCACATGTGTGGATGGTTGCGCCACGAATTGTGTGGAAATGCCATAATGTGGAGAGCGAAGAGGGGGAAAGAGGGACACAGGAGAATTATGCCGCTAATACGCTGAGAGCAAAAAGTGAATCATGCTAAAGTAATTTGCTTTTGTTGTTGTTGTTTTTTTTTTTTCGCTGCACTCATCTTTTAATCCGAATCACTGAACTCGCTCACTCTACAGTTATCATTATCAGTCATTTCTCCTGCGAGACTCTGTGGTCACAACCCGGTCCCCACAGAAAAAAAAAAAAAACACTTAACGTCTAACTGCGCCTCTATTCTAAATTAGTGTTGCACAAACAAACAAAAAAAAGCAACAATGCTAGCAAAGGGGACAGCTAAAGAAAAATGGCTTTCACTCGCAACCTAGTACATCAGAGTATGTGCTCTGTATTTACGGTTATCCTCAAGAGTCAACGATTCATTTCAGCAAGTCAAATCTGTCGCTGTCATTACTCGACAACTTGCTTTAGTTTGTTTGTTTGTTTTTGTTTGTGTATGTTTTTTTTTTTTTTTTTGCTGTTTCTTTTTTATTATTATTATTTGCTATCAGCGAAGAAAGTAGCATTCCACCATGCA